GGATTCGGTTGCCTGCTGCCCCCTTTGCAGCGTCAAAGCCATTGTATCTGTCTGGTTTAATGAACAACATTTCCCATGTAGTTATTGACTGTAGGCTTGATGCTGTGATCCTTTGTGCACTTACTTGGGAGTAAGCCCCTTTGAGCTCTGTGGGAGTTGCTACCAGGTAGAAATGTGCCAGATTGTGCTGTAATCCACTTATGACAACAAATAAGGGGATTTGAACATTTCTACCAACAATTTTTAAAGTTGCCATTTTGACTTGTGAAGAAGCAAACTAGAACCTGAAATTCAATTCTTTTAGAAGAAAATATTGGGAAGAAATACCTTGCAGATGGCAACAGGAAAAGTACATAAACTTTTCATGTTGTGTGCAGCCCACAATCTATCTTTTGGAAAGAAAATACTCCTCAAGGGACAAGGTTAAACTGCAAGGAGAGGGAAGGGATGAAAAGGAATGTTCTAATGGCTGTCAACAGAGGTAGGAAGAACAGGCAGAAATGTGAGTTTTCGCATAGGTAAACGACAGTACTACCCAAACCTTAGCTAACTTAAACTTGATTAAAACTCAAAACCCGTGACAGTGCATTGAAATTAAAATAAATCATCTTATCCTCTGATAATTTCCCATTTAGAGGAGCCTCTGTAAATGGCTCCTTGCATTGAAGCAGATCGCTAAATGGTACTTTTAGACAGTTGTACTGGAGAAGCACCAGTGTTTTCTTTTGTAACTCGGGGTAAATATGCCTGAATATAATGCACTAGTATAGCCATGTCCTGATGGTATAAAGTACAGAAATAGTTCACTTAGTGTTATCAGCAACCCTTTAAGAGAATTTTCCATTTACACATTCCTGTGCCATATGATGAAGCCCATGTCTACAAACTTACTGGCAGCCGCCAAATCCAGAGTGACTGATACTTTGCATGTGCTTCCTTTGCCAACCTACAATGCTAAATCTGGATCTAAACTCCATAATGCTATGCATAGGAAGCTGACTTGCTCTCCAAACTTGCTTCATTTCAGATGGTGCTTTTGGGGGAGCCAGAAAATGGGTTGTAACAAATTTTCCAGACAGCTGGAAAAGGAACTACCTTTTCTCTATGGAATTATGTTGTTCTGTTGCCATTAGCATAGCATAAAGGCAGTGTTCCCCCTAGATCAGGAATAGGGAGTATTTTTACTCAGCACGTGTTTCGTAATCCCAGTGATGGGACTGAACAGGAAGAGTAGTTTTTCGCAGAGATATTCCAGAGTGTCAGGGCAGGAGGTGTTTATGTCCTGGGCAGCAAAAGAGCCTCACTGGCTCATCATCTCATGTCCAGCTGCCATTTTGAGATAAGGATGGTGCTGAAGGAAGGCTCACATTTAGCAGGATTTTTCCTGTCTAGGCTCGTTATTTGCCTGTTTCTATCAGAATGCGGGGACACAAGGAGGTTGATAACAACCACAACTGGTTGAACTGCGCCAGAGAGATCTAGGAGATGAAGGATGAGAGCAGCCAAGCAGCCACAGCAGTGGACCTCGTAAAACTCAGATATTCAAATGGAGTCTGAATTGTAGCATCCCTTTTCTCTTGGGATTTCTTACGTGACTTCTATGATTATCTCTTCGTCCAACTGAACCTCTTCAGGGGGAGCAAGAGAAATAATTTCTACCTTCCTTCTATTTGTTGGTGTTAGAATACAAGACACTCTAACATCCAGGCAAGACTGTTCAGCAGCCCCCAACACACATTAATTGCATTCATTTGCATTTATACCTGTCAGTCATTTTGCCCCACCTGTCTACATCTTTGTATCTACAGCATCTGACCATCACCGCCAGGAGTAGCCCACACTCTGCTCTCCAGAGGTTGTTGGACTACAACTCCTGCCCTCCCTCACCATTGGCCATGCTGGTGCTCCTGCTCGGAGTTTGAAATCCAACATCTGCAGGGCACCGTGTTGGCCACTCTTGGCCTACACAGACACACACACACAGAGAGAGAGAGAGAGAGAGAGAGAGAGAGAGAGATGGTGATAATATTGATACACTTTGTAGGATTTCATGAGACATCTAGCCATGAAGATTCATTAACATTGCATTTCAGTGATGGCCAGCAGTGGCTCGTGTTGTTCTTAGCAGTCACATTAAACTCCAGAAAGAGAAAATAGACTGGGAAATGGTGGTCAGGCTTTTATTGGATAGACTGTAATGGATATACACAATAAAACATAATGTTAGCTATAGGCCTCTTTTATCAGGCTGTTAGCAAATGCGGTGGGGGGCAGAGTGAAGGGGGGGGAGAACTAGATATATGGAGGACGACTAGATATATGGACAGAGACAAATGTTGCTTGAAAAATGTTGCCTTCCATTGAGGGATTTTGCAGGAAATTAAGGAACTCTGCACTACATGACATTGTTTCCTGCAGCTAGGAGATCTCACACAATAGGAACAACAACAACAGAATTTGCGGGTTCGGAGGGGGGATATATTCCTTTCCATTTGCAGGGAGCACCTCTGCCTGAACTTCTGATCCTGTCTGCTTCTCATCACACATTCCTTTTTTTGTGCATAGCTGATGTTGCTTGAGAAATTTTAATTTCGCTTCACTATTTATGGCACATTGGAGACAAACAGCCTCACCAGCATTACCATTACTTCATTCGTCTTTTTTAGTCATCAGTGCTGACTGCTTATGTCTTTTACATTCACAGGGCTGATTTCAATTTTAAGGAATTCGGTGCCTTTTCAGGAACTCCACAGAAATGATGCATGTCAACTCATTTGGCAGAGCTCTCAAAGCTGGGAGTGAGGGGGGGGGTCGGGAGAGAAACTTTAATAAATATGTAATAAGGTGACTGACAGTGATTAGTGATCATAGATCCCAAAAAGAGAGGAGAAGGGAGAAAGGAAGACAAAGGCTAAATTGCTGAAAGGTTTTGTTTTTAATTTGCTGCTTTCTATTTTTTGTGGGTGGCAATTTTAAGCGTGGCTTCTGTCTTTTGCAAATAATTTTTTAATAGCTGCTTATAGCTGCACTGTGGGTTAAACCACAGAGCCTAGGACTTGCCAATCAGAAGGTTGGCAGTTCGAATCCCCGCGACAGGGTGAGCTCCCATTGCTCAGTCCCTGCTCCTGCCAACCTAGCAGTTCGAAAGCACTGTCAAAGTGCAAGTAGATAAATAGGTACTGCTCTGGCGGGAAGGTAAACAGCGTTTCCGTGCGCTGCTCTGGTTCTCCAGAAGCGGCTTAGTCCTGCTGGCCACATGACCCGGAAGCTGTACGCCTGCTCCCTCGGCCAATAAAGCAAGATGAGTGCCGCAACCCCAGAGTCGGTCACGACTGGACCTAATGGTCAGGGGTCCCTTTACTTTTATAGCTGCTTTATATAACTAAAAGAGTCATTGGGGACTCTTTTAGTTGAGAATTAGAATAAAAGAGTAAAAGAGGAGCAAACCTTTTTGAACTTGTAATATTGTAAATTGGACCATGGCAGGATCTTTTTCTTTCACAAAAACGTGCAATCAGTACCAGAATTCCCTGGAAATGGTACCAGTTCAGATCCAATTCTAAACCATGGCAGGTGTGAAAAGGAGATAGGAAGCATCCACTTCCTGTTTTTAACCACCCATGGTTTATCATTATATCCAGAAACATCAGCGTCAACAGCATAGACCATATCTTTAACTGGGCGTGGGAGAGAGGGCTGGGCTCAACCTCCCAAGAAGGTGATCAGGACTATTGCAACTAGCCATTTGTGTGAGATTTCCCGTTGAGGGCTGGGAACTGTTCATTCTCTCTAGCGCTGCATGCTTCTACCATGCACAGCAGCTATTTTGGTACAGGATTTCTGACCCAATAAGGAAATGCACACGTAGGAGCCAGCTTCCATGAGGCTGCTGCTTTCTGTGGTTTGGGAGCGAGGGAAGGAAATTCTCAGAATGCTCCTCACACAAATTCAATTTAATTCAAATGGGACTAGCAGGCGACAAGACTTCAGTGGAATGTGGACTCTGATTCCTTAGATTTATGAAATTATTATTATTTTACTTCTTGTCTTACTTACAAATTGCGTTGAGTCACAACAAGGCTTACCAGACGCTTTAAAACTTTCTTGTGTTGATCATACTAATAGAAAGTTGCTGCTGTTTAGTCACATGGCAGTGTTGGGATTCAGTCCCTCAAACAACACAGAAAGTCTAGTCTCTCCTAGGGGGGTTAGAAAAGAAATGCAATTGGGGTGTGCTTTCTCTTCCAGTCTGTGTCTCTAGTGTGTGTTCCTTCATTTCTCCCAAGGGAAAAATTAGTGTGCTTTAGGTTGCAATCCTGTACCAATTCACCCAGGAATAAGTCAGTGGGATGGACTTCTGAGTAGACATTATAGGTTTTCATTGACAGATGCAGAGACAGTTCACACATCTCTGTGCTGGAAGGTATGTGGGCTCAGGTTAGAGTTTTCTAAACAGGCATGGGAAACACTTGGTAAATTTCTCAGGTACTTCCAGAAAAGAACTTATTGTAGAGTCAGTGCTGGTCATGCACACAAGTGTCCACATGATGTTGTCTGCAAAATACCCTCCTTATTTCCTCTTGCCAAAGTAAATCTGATGAATAAAAATCCCCCATTAGATACCTGCTGTCAATGTTAAATGTGAAAGCTCATTAGCACCCTATTTTGGGGCAGTTTGTTGTAAGTGTGTGACATTTTGGTGTGGTGGCCTCTAAAGCCACACCATACTTCTGTTTGCTCCTCACCTGAGCACAACTAGCCATGTTATTAACTGCAGCCCAAGTGACATGGATGTGCCTTTTCCCACCAATTGCCACATTCAACCCAGTGAGGAAGAGCTGTTTTCTCAAGAAGATCCACACAGTACATATCAGGAATTACCATGGGGACTAGTTGCAGTGCATACATTAATTCTAGATTCAGGTAGGTAGCCGTGTTGGTCTGACGCAGTCGAAATAAAAAAATAAAAAAAATTGTCCAGTAGCACCTTAGAGACAAACTAAGTTTGTTCTGGGCATAAGCTTCCGTGTGCATGCACACAAAAGCTTATACCCAGAACAAACCTAAGATAAAGGGACCCCTGACCGTTAGGTCCAGTCGCAGACTACTCTGGGGTTGTGCTTTACTGGCCAAGGGAGTACATCTTGCTTTACTGGCCAAGGGAGCCGGCGTTTGTCCGCAGACAGCTTCCAGGTCATGTGGCCAGCATGACTAAGCTGCTTCTGGCGAACCAGAGCAGCACACGGAAACACCATTTACCTTCCCGTTGGAGTGGTACCTATTTATCTACTTGCACTTGACGTGCTTACGAACTGCTAGGTTGTCAGGAGCAGGGACACTTAGTTGGTCTCTAAGGTGCTACTGGACAATTTTTTTATTTATTTCAACTGCATACATCATGTTCATTTTAAAGAGAGAGAGAGGGGGAGAGAGAGAGAGAGAGGCCTTCTGCAAGTCCTCTTTATCATCATTGGGCAGGCCTTAGATGGATAAATATGACTTTCCTGCAAGACCACAGTATTAATGGTATTATGGGTATGCATACATTTGTTTCTAGAGCTAAAGCTCAACTGAAGGGATGTTTTCTTACTAATTTCTGCAAACAGTATAAATTGTATGTGTTCCTCTGTGTGTGTCTGTGTATACATATGCACATGCATGCGCGCGCACACACATGCACACAAACACGCAGAGTAATTCACCTTTAGACATTACTTTATCTGAAAAAGCAAATTCCTTCAACTCTTGAATGGTAACATTTATTTTTCTCCATCAAACATGTGTTTCTGTCTGTTTTTGTTTTAACTGTATGGTTTAGATTCTACTATCAACATTTCCTGGGGTGCCAATTAGCAAAGAAGAGCTGTTTTTACTTCATTGTGTTTTAAATCTTAATAAAACCAAGGAAGCTGAGTTTGTTTGACAGATCTTCCTGCTGAGAAATATGCCCACCAAAGATGACATGTTCAATGGGAATGTTTATTCATAGGAATCCAATTATTTCAGGAGTAAACATTTTTAATAGGCCTGCACCTTTATCCCAAACATTTGTACTGGTGTTGCTGTCTGCAGTGTTAATCACTGACATTGTGTAATCCTGTTGAGTTTTATTGTTATCATGTGTTTTTTCAACCATGTATATGTGGTGCAGTCCAGTCCAGCTATCCTGTGCATAAACAAACAAAAGAAGAGCAATCCTTGTTTTATCACGATTGCCTGCCACCCTGACATATTATCCCACATGATGCTCTGACATCATCAGCCACTGTACCTCATCCTAGATCTTAATTTGGGCTGTTTCTGTGTTCCTGAAGTTTCACCAAGCGCTTTCCTCTTCTTCCTTGTGACAAACTCAGCCAGGTGCTTAGCTGATCCTCAGTGGGCTGTTGTAAAACATGCATGCGGGCCTCGTGTGCATTGTAAAATAACCAAATTACTTCAACACACATACATTTCAAGTATCGTTATGATCTTTCATAATTAGTGAGTAGGAAAAATGTTTTCCACTGCCTGCAGTGAAGCTCCATACCATTAAAATAAGAACATGTTTTCAATATTTAGATAATTTCACTTAAGTGTTAAAGGCACTGGAGGTTGACTAGATGCATTCTTTCATGCACTCCCCACATATTTCTTCCAAATGGAGACCAGCACAAACCCGTCCCCTAAGAACAGAAACGAGGCATGGAAATTTACAGTTCACGGATCTTCGTGCATTTGCAAAATGTTGCACAGGCTTTTATTTTGATTCCCACCCTTTCCCCCCTTTATTCACATTAAAAGCTGGACTTTTAAAATAAGTGTAAGAACTCAAATATAGTCAGAGCCTGTTCCATTCATTGCTTTTAAATTAATATGGAACACAAATTGTGCAATCTGACCAGACCAGACCAGACCCACCCACCTCCAAAACCCAATGTCAGCAACAACATGTTGTCAGAATCCCATCCATCTCAGATTCGAGGGAGACCTCTGAAGAAAAGGCATGGAATTATGTGTAGTACAGCTGGGGGACCTGGAAAACTCCACAAAACTCCCAGAAGTGCCTTGGCTCAGGAAACCCCTCCCAATGACTCATCCAACTACAGCCCAAGCCCGGCCTTGATCCCCAGTTCTTCTTCTTCATCACCCAAACCTCAAAAGCGAAGGTTACAACAGACTTGGTGGAAAGACCAGGTTCAACTCATGTGCACTGGAGGAGGGAGAAGACTCAGCTGTGAAGAGTGACCCATCAGATGGCCAGAAAGTGGAGGAGCTGATAGGATATGCACCTCTCAGATGCTTCTGGACCCTTTTTGCTACTTTAACAGCGCCTCACTGTGCTCCTTAGTGTCCAGATCACTTTCTCACCTCCAGAAATCCCCTGCTCAGCTCCCGTTCTCACTCCAGTACCAGTGCTAACACCTTTACTAGGTCCTGGCTTTCAGGACAGACAACCAAACAAAATGAGTCTCATCCAAAACTGCATTTCTTGCTGACTCACTTGCTATGTGATGAAAATATTTGTCATTTATATAGCAATCTTTGATTGCTTTAACCTTCTTTGTACACTTTAACACTTACAAAATAGGTCAGTGTTGTTTTCCCTTTAGTGGTGGGGGATGGGCTGAAGTGGGAAGAATAGTGACTTGCCTCAAGTCCAGGCATAGGCAAACTCGGCCCTCCAGATGTTTTGGGACTACAACTCCCCTCGCCCCTAGCTAACAGGACCAGTGGTCAGGGATGATGGGAGTTGTAGTCCCAAAACATATGGGGGGCCAAGATTGCCTATGCCTGCTTAAGTCCCATTGTGAGTCCATGACTGTGGTGAGTTTTGAAGGGGGAATTCTCTGGTTCACACACTTAGCAGCAAGAGTGCATCAGCTGATGTCAAGCTGCATGCAAGGGAAACACTGGCTCAGTATGGACATATACTTGGAGATGGTTTAGTGCTGTTTGAATAAGCCTGCCTGGACCTCAAGCTCAAGTACTCCTCCCTCCATTCTTGTCCTCTGCTCTGTTTCATCTCTTTGCAGAAGCCGATTGTCATTTGAAAAAGAGAAAAAGCGAGCAAACCTATAATTGGAGGGATGGGGAACTATCTGAGGCAGTAGGTCTTTAAATACCAGTTGCTGGGAAGAACAAGTAAGGAGAGTGCTGTTGCACTCAGGTCCTCTGATGGACTTCCCCTGGGCATCTGGTTGGTCACCATGGAAATAGGATGCTGGACCAGATGACCGTTGACCTTGTCTAGCTTGGCTCTTACTACATGAGGGCCACACCTGTAGATCCAAATCAGATCACAGCATCTGATTCTGACCATGACCCTGGAGGAACATGACCCTCTTGGGAGAGGCCATGTGGGGCCAGTCTCAGAGCTCTGACTTAGTAGTGGTGCTACTGGCTCTGACTTAACTATCCTTGAGGAATTTTATCTTCATGCATTCTGAAATGAGTCCCCCTGATACAAACCTCCCAGGCTAATGTGTGGATTGGAAGTTTCATACTCCCTGAATGTTCTGGTGCAGTTCTGGCAACATATTATGACACATATAAAAATGTGTATTTTGAGAGAAAGTCATTAAAAATACATATTTAAATGGAAATTCTTCTGCAAGAGTTCACTTTCCTGAAAATCAATAATAGCAGATTAGTGCAGCAGTGGGGTGAAACAAGCTAGCAATTGAATACATGCAGCAGTAATAGACTGATGCATCAGTCCAAACTCTGACTTATATTCATGGGATAAATAAATGTATCTGTTTTTATTGACAGGGGCCCTAGTGGAATTTTGTAGCCATTCTGTGTTAAGAAGTTGCACATATTAGATAACCTGCCCACCCCCACCATGGTCACATTTGGACTCAGTAAGTTTGCAAAAGGAGGGATTCTGGCCAGCATTCAAGATTCTGTGTTTGTGGCCACTGTGGGGAACATAGAAGGTAAGGATGAGGCATAGGATTTAATAGTGGTAATATATTTACTTTTGCTACTTTCCTAGCTTGCTAGTCAAAGTTTAGTGGTGTAATTCCTGAAAGAGAATTTTTACTTCCTGGCTTTCATTTGCTCCACAAATCAAAGTCCCCATAAACTCTGCTGTAGGATCTATTCATTCCCTGTTTTTATACCTGCAAATGTTTTTAGTTTAGCAGGCAACTCTTGGATGCCCCTTTTCCTTAGGATTCTCTGACAGCGATCATTCAAGTTATTGGCTTTGTCTTTGCCCCTCCATTTCTACTGGGTCTACTAGGATTTTAGAGATCAAGGACCTGCTAGATAAAGAATGGTTCTGGTCTGCAGCGTAAGCAGTGTGCTTGGCAATTAAGAACGGAGTAATGTCTATTTTGTATTGAAATGCTGTTTTAAATTAACCAATCACACAATCGCAGGCAGGCAGTTATATTTAATACCACAGTTATTTCTGGGTAGACAGATATAATTTGTGTACTATTCAAACAGCCTTTGAAAGACTTATGAGTTTTGATTATGTGCTGGCTTATCCTCCAAGCTCAGATTTCCAATCTTTTCTAAATACAGCAACTGTGAAATGTAATGACTGAGGCATGTTGGCATAAAACACAGATTTGTCCTAAACTTCCTGATATAATGGATATAGCCTGCTTGCCAGCTGTGTTCTCCCACTTTGTAACGTTTAGCTTGAATAAAAAAATAAATTATAAAAAATACTAATTTGGAGCAGGCACTAGCTATATATTGATATAATCAGTGCAATGTTGTTGTTTAGTCGTGTCTGACTCTTCGTGACCCCCTGGACCAGAGCATGCCAGGCACTTCTGTCTTCCACTGCCTCTCACAGTTTGGTCAAACTCATGCTGGTAGCTTTGAGAACACTATCCAACCATCTAGTCCTCTGTCATCCCCTTCTCCTTGCGCCCCCTTCTCCATCTTTCCCAACATCAGGGTCTTTTCCAGGGAGTCTTCTCTTCTCATGAGGTGGCCAAAGTATTGGGGCCTCAGCTTCACAATTTGTCCTTCCAGTGAGCACTCAGGGCTGATTTCCTTAAGAATGGATAGGTTTGTTCTTCTTGCAGTCCATGGGACTCTCAAGAGTCTCCTCCTGCACCAA